AAAAACTAAATAAAAAAGTGTGAAAACGTAAAAAATTAAAAACCCTTTTTTATAGGAGTGGGTGCGATCCGATTCTAAAAGGAACCGAACCGAACCGAATACCAACGAGAATTTTAGAAATGGAACCATTGGTTCCATTGTTAGCTATGGAACTGAACCGGAACCGAGCCAATCGGTTTCGGTTCGGTCCGATCCGGTTCTTTACATAAAGATGTCAAAATAAAATGTTTACTAATAAGAAATCTAAAGAAAGTATCAATGTGATACTTTTAAATATATATAGAAGAACCGAATATATTATACAAAGATTAAAAGAAAACTAAGTATACAAATTTAAAAAAAAATATGCAAATAATATAAGTTACTATTATCAAACAAATATTAACTTATATAAACCGTCTAGTACTTCAATGATTAAACAAACTTTCATCAAAATGAAAACAAAATAAAAGTGTTTGAAGAGTAAATCATATATTTTACTGAAAAAAATGCCAACTGAAGGGTCCCTTTTTAACATTTTCTTGAGCCTTCAGGTAATCACAATTCAGTATTTTTCTCAATTATTTAATTAAAAAGTGACATATGAACTATATACATAAACATTCGTTTTATTTCCATATGTCACTGCCTTTTGCTTATGCTGTTATACTATAATTTTTTTTTTAAATTTTGTTTTACTTTGATGGAAGTTTCTTTTCACTTTAAGAGTAAGTCATATATATTACCAATTTGGTTTCGGGACAAATTGGAGAGTAAGTCTTATATTTTACCAAAAAAGAAAAAAATGCCCACTAAAAAAAATTCTATAAGAACCGTTCGGTTCCCCGCGGTTCCCATACTAGAACCAAGAACCAGACCGAAACCGATCGGTTCTTAATAATTTGTCTCGAAACCAAATTATTTTTTAGAAGAATCGGAACCGAATTGGCCGATTCTAAATGGTTCCGATCCGGTTCCACCGGTTCCGGGAAAAAATATCCACTCCTACTTTTTTATTTTAAAAAATATAAGTTAGGCTGGCATGAACATGTAGCAGCAGCAATATAGTATGGAATGATTTTTTCACACTCTTTCCCCCTTTTTCTACTTCCCAAATCAGTGCAAATCATTATCACCGTCTAAAAGGATTTTTCGAAGGAAGCAAAAACGTGGAAGAATTACTATACCCGTTGAGAATTCAAATTTTTTAATTCACGGGATGAATATATAATACATAGGAAATATTAAAAGCCAAAAAGAAAAAAAGTATTTTAAAATAAGTAATTATATGATTACATACTGAAATTTAAAAGCAAAAAGATAGACAAATGAGAAATATAACGTAGAGTCTGCACTTTTTTTCTTTCTCAAAAATGGTCCATAAAGTAGGTGGTATGGTTTAGTACCATTATAAAACTGCAACTTGACCTTTTACAGAACATTTTAACTTATTTTTTTTAGAAAACAAGTTTAAATAATTTTAATTTTATAGTCCAGAAAAATAAATAAATATTTGAGGCAGAAGTCAAAAGAATAACTAACTTTATTTTATTTTTTGGACGCTTTCACTCATATTGTTTACAATTTACAGTTTAATTTTTAAGGCGATGCTTGCTAAAATGGAAAAAAAATACAGTAAAATAGTTGCATTAATTAAGTTGCCGTTTCAATTTCAAGTGTTTATACAGGATACTAGCACTTGTGTCGTTTGAGTTTTACCGGAGTTAGATTTGGAGAGAGTGTGCAACCATACATGAATAACATCATACTCACGATTCTTGAATTGTTAATCGTTATCAAATTGTCTTGATATTTTGGTAGTTCTGGTGTACAACTACCTAGATCTTAACTCAATGTCAAGTGCTTTATAGGCTATAGCATTGTGTTACAACGAAATGGTTATGTTTTTTACTTCGAGACAAGATTCTTTGCAATTATTTAGAGTTAAATGTTTCATTAGTCATTGAACTTATATTTTTGTCACGTTTTACTCATTTAATTTTAAAATATCGAGTGGTTACTAAATGTTAACGCATTGCATTCTATCAATCCACTTATCATATTTTATATATCATTGAACTTTAAAATATTTGTAAGTGGTCACTGAATTTTATTACATTGCACTTTGTTACTCACCCATCATATTTCATTAGTCACTGAACTTATGTCTACTACCCCTTACTCAATGAATTCTAAAATAATTTCGATTGGTAATTGAACTTCATAATCTTATCTGAGTAAAATTATTTTTCTATGAGATTTGATCTAGATAATAAAATAAAATAAATTATCAAATAGATTATAAAACTCTCAATCTAAGACAAGAATATCGATATTGAAAGAAAGAAAAAATTTCTCTAGTCTTCTATAGTTGTGTACAAAGAGATAAAAGAATGCTAGTTTCAAACTGACAAAAGTCTTTAAAAAAGATTATAATCTTCTTTTACGTCGAGAAAATAAATAAAAAATGATTTCTTTATATTGATTAAGATCTTAAACACAAATCAATAAAATAAAAAATTATGTCTCAATCTGAAAGTAAAATTTTCGATTTAAAATCAATAATATCAATGAAGACTACCAAAATATAATTCTTAAAAATGTCACAAGATAATTCAATAGAAATGGATGGCTTTGTTTTCGTGTATGGTATTTTACACTTCAAAATTTTCAATTTGAACAGTTATATTCAGTGAAAAAAGTTCAGTGATCACTCAGTCAAGTTACAATATCCGTCCTTGAGATATGTGCTACAGTCCTATTCGAAATTGGTCGAGGAGTTCGATAATGTTAAACCATCATGACATCTTGGTCGTAGCCTATAACCTAGATCATCATTGCTTGTAGCCTATGCGGTCATATTATTCTCCTAATCAGTTGACATAAAAGGTGTAGACGTTAATGGTAACGCCTTTCTATCTCTAATTGGTTACAAGGGTGCCACTGGCATCATCGAGGAAACACTGCTATTTCATCATAATGATATCTCTAAACGACGACTTCTTAGGCTATCTTGACTAGGTGAGTCTTGTAATCCAATGTCAAAATTTGACTTTTCTTGACAAATTAGTCTCTTTAATTACCTTGATATAGAGTCACATTTGATCTAAGGTGAGGGATCTATTCTTGAGATATGGAATTGTATTCTTTGTAGACATCGGTGTACAAACAAGCTCTTATTTCTTGGCCTGCTGGAATATATTCTGTGATTTACCTCCCTCACGATACTCCAAAGGCGGGGCGATGAAGACCCTCAATGTTGGGGTTCAACCTTCTTCTTCTTCTTCTTCTTTTTTTTTTTTTTTTTTTTTTTTTTTTTTTTTTTTCTCCTTACATTTGATTCAAGGTGTCCTATCAGGATTGGACGCCAAAAGTAGAAAACGTGTGTCGACTTCTCCATTTGTCCTCTTCACACTGATTTGATATGTCCTTAAATATCATAGCATTAATTTATAATTTTTTTTTTTTTTACTCCCTTCAATGACTTTCCAATCCATCACATAAAGAGGTTAGTAAAACGGGCCGATAATATCAATAATTTCTTTACGCAATTTACTAGAGAAATAATGTTTGTTATGTTGCCTCTTCATATCGTAAAATAATTCACTACAGAAAAAATAAATAATTATGGTATTAATGTGCTTTGATTTCTTCCAATCCGACTCATCAAAATTATTGAATTTATCATTTCTACGACATCACTGATTTGTTACATCTCTTTATTTAGACATTAAATAAGATTTTCTATATTTTTCTTAGTAAATGACCATTACTATTTGTCTTAATTAAAGAGGATTTGTATCATTTTAATACCTTTGAAAAATTGAAATTTTCTCCGCACACACCACACGGTGACATTGGCAAAGAGGTCATGTAGTTAATTCAAGAACATCGTAGTGTAATAGAATTAACGACACTTCAATGAATTTAAAAAAAAAAAATGGAGAATAATTTTAGGAAAAAAAAAAAAAAAAAAAAACTGGAATCTGCTAATCAGTTGAATCCCCACAAAAGTTTGACGATAAGTAGTGTACTTTTGGAAGGTAATAGAAGGAAGCAAACTTTACATTTCCCAAATTGAAGCATGGCCGAAGGAAAGTCGGCTTTTACTTTTACCACTTTTCCTTTATAATAGTAAAGATCCTTTATAATATGAAGTTTATATATATATATATATATATATATATATATATAAACTTCATATTTTAATTCTTTATTTTGCTTTTTCTGAGAAGTATTTATTGATTTATTCTCATTTTTTATGTAACATGTATTTTTTTCATTTTAATAGACAATCAACTCAAATATGATTTAAATAATTTAAGAAGTAGGATATTGAATTTAATAGCTAATTAAATGCAATTATTATAAAGTAAGATTCAAGTCTATTTTAACTATTTTAAAAAGTTAAAATAGAGAGGTCTTGAAGCTTATTTTTAAGCATAAAGAATATTTAATTTAAAGATTTTTTTTTGAAAATGTTCAAGATTTGGCCCCACTTTTAAATTATTGTTTTCTTCAAATTTGTTTTTATTCAAATACTTTATGAGATTCATAATTATATCAACTTTTCAATTATTAGTCTGTTTGGGAGTGATTTTTTTGCCCAAAAAATTGATTTGTAACCATTATTTCACTATTTCAATTGTCATATTTAACTTCTTTTCTCACAGATGGACTCCACTTTTCTGCTAACGATCAAAAAATCAATTATAAAAATCACTCCTAAATAGGCTCTGTATATTTCGTCAATTTCTATTAAACTTTATTAAAAATATAATTTTTAACTAAATCAAATTGGGGCAAATTTATATTCCTTTAATTACATTAATTTGGAATACTTTTAGCATAGAATCGATTGTGAGAAAAAGTCAAAAAAATAAATAAATAAATAAATAAACAGTGAAAGTGAAATGCAAAATCATTGAATTCCACCCAACAGCCCACTGATTAATTCACCAACCCCAAAACAGTGCCAATATCTTTGACATTTATGAAGCCCAAATTCTGACCACTGTGTGTGTACTGTCTGTTTATTTTATTTTTAAGAAACACAAACAATTTAAACATTAATCCCTCACTCACTCCTCCCCATATCTGTAACCTGCCCTTTTTGTTTAGAAGAGTTTCGTTTGCCGTAAGTTTGCATTTTCTGATTGTGTGAGTAACTTAACAAACAAATATAAAACAATTGCAGTGACAGTTCATTAGAACCTGAAAGGGCAAACATTGAAAATTTCTATTGTCTCCCACAATTTTATTTGTTTTTCAGTAGCAGGTTTCATGCGCATAGCCTGTTTACTGCTGTATACTTGCTATTTTCAGTTTCTGGGGTACTGAAAGCAAAGCAAACTATTTTTTAATAGTTTGTTGAAAGGTGAAAGTTATTGTTCTACGGTGGTGGTGGTGGTTTTGTTTATAGATTTATGGAATTATTGGTGTTGCCGCCTCGCAGAAGCCAAAAGTAGCCGCAGAAACATTTATGATACAAAATTGGTTGAATTAAAGGTCAGAGAGAAAAGGGTTTTGGGGTAGTTGGTCTTGGAGGGGGTTAGGTACTGTTTCTTTTTTGTTCTTTCTGCTATTTTTGGCCTAATCCAAAAATGGGATTTGGTTTTCTTGGTTCTTTTTTGCTTCTAACGCTGTTCTTTAAGCCTTTGGTTTCTGAACAACCCAATACAGATGGGTCATTTATCTTTGATTTCTTGCAAAAAATGTACTCAAATTCTTCCAAAGATTATAACTTTTCTGGCCCTTTTTGTTCATGGAGGGGTGTGTCTTGCGATACCAAAAGAGAGAATGTTGTGAAATTGGAAGCAACTAGTTTCGGTTTGTCTGGTGTGATTCCTGACAACACAATCGGGAAATTGACAAAGCTTGAAACTTTGGATCTGAGTAGTAACAAAATCACTGCTTTGCCATCTGATTTCTGGAGTTTGGGTACACTGAAGAATCTTAATCTCTCCTTTAACCAATTTTCTGGAAATCTCCCTAGTAGCATGGGCAATTTTGGTCGACTCCAAAGTTTGGATCTCTCTTTCAACAATTTCTCTGGGAGTATCCCTGAAGCAATAAGCTCTCTAGTCAGCTTGCAAGTTCTCAATCTCAGTCAGAATGGATTTGACTCAACCATTCCTTTGGGGATCTCACAATGCAGATCCTTGGTTTCCATTGATCTTTCCAAGAACAAGCTCAATGGCTCTCTTCCTCGTGATTTTGGTGCTGCATTGACGAAGCTGGAATTCTTGAACCTGGCTGTTAATGAGATTGAGGGCCGAGATACGAATTTTTTGGGGATGAAATTTATCAGATATCTTAATATTTCAGGTAATCTTTTTAAGGGTTCAGTTGTTGATGTCTTTGAAGGGCCTCTGGAGGTGATTGATTTGAGCAGAAACCAATTTCAAGGCCACATTGCTGAGGTAAATTTCAGTTCCACCTTCAATTGGTCCAAGTTGGTTTACTTGGATTTATCTGGTAATCAGCTTAGTGGAAAGTTTTTCAGTGGCTTGATTTATGCTCCTAATCTCAAATACCTTAATCTTGCTCAAAACAGATTCACCAAACAACAATTTTTGTCAATTAATATGCTCTTCAATTTAGAGTATCTAAATTTGTCTAGTACTAATTTGATTGGTGAAATTCCGAGTAATATCTCATATTTGAGTAGTTTGAAAACCCTTGATCTTTCAAAAAACCATTTGAGAAACCATATTCCTCCTTTCGGTATCAAGAACCTTCTAGTTCTTGATGTTTCTTACAACAATTTAACCGGAGACATCCCATTGATGCTTTTAGGAGGACTCCGAGAGATGGAGAGGTTTAATTTCTCTTATAACAACCTAAGCTTTTGTGGTTCACAAATTCCATCTGAAACCCTCCAATCCGCTTTCATTGGGTCGATGAACAGCTGCCCTATTGCTGCAAACCCAGCCTTCTTTAAAAGGAAATCTCAGAAGCATAGGGGACTAAAGCTTGCCCTGGCTCTTACCCTCTCAATGGTTTCTCTGCTTGTGGGGTTGCTCTTTTTAGCCTTTGGATGTCGAAGAAAAACCAGAAATTGGACAGTGAAACAGAATTCCTATAAAGAAGAACAAACTATCTCGGGACCCTTCTCGTTCCAGACTGATTCAACCACTTGGGTAGCTGATGTTAAGCAAGCAACGTCTGTTCCAGTTGTAATCTTTGAAAAGCCGTTGCTTAATTTTACATTTGCAGACCTCTTGACTGCAACTTGTCACTTTGATCGGGGCTCGTTGTTGGCTGAAGGGAGATTTGGGCCGGTTTATGGTGGACTATTACCGGGAGGAGTTCATGTGGCTGTTACAGTTCTAGTCCATGGTTCGATTATAACTGATGATGAAGCTGCAAGAGAGCTTGAGTATCTTGGTCGAATAAAACATCCTAATCTTGTTCCTCTAACTGGATATTGCTTGGCTGGAGAGCAGAGGATTGCGATTTATGAGTACATGGAAAATGGAAATCTACAAAACTTGCTGTACGATTTACCACTTGGTGTTCAAACTACAGAAGACTGGACCAATGACACTTGGGAAGAAGATGAAAATAATGGGATACAAAATGTTGGGACAAAAGGATCACTAATAACTTGGAGATTTAGGCACAAAATTGCACTTGGCACAGCTCGTGCACTAGCATTTCTTCATCATGGCTGCTCGCCTCCAATTATACACAAAGATGTCAAAGCAAGCAGTGTTTATCTCGACTCAAACTTGGAACCACGAATTTCAGACTTTGGACTCGCTAGAATTTTCGGGAATGAGCCTGACTCCGAGATAGCCGGTGGTTCACCAGGGTATGTGCCACCGGAATTTCTTCAGCCAGAAACCAGCTCCCTAAAGGACCCATCACCAAAATCTGATGTTTATGGATTTGGAGTAATTCTTTTTGAACTAATTACAGGGAAAAAGCCTGTTGAAGATGATTATCCAGATGAAAAGGAAGCATCTTTAATAAGTTGGGTGAGAGGTCTAGTAAGGACGAATCATGCATCACAAGCTATTGATCCCAAAATTCGTGGAACAGGACCAGAGGAACAAATAGTTGAGGCCTTGAAGATTGGATATCTATGCACAGCTGAACTTCCTTCAAAGCGGCCCAGTATGCAACAGGTAGTTGGACTACTGAAGGATCTTGAACCAATCACACAAAAATGAATAGAAGAGAATGTTCAGATTTTGACAAACTTTTGTTAGTTTTTTCATGTGATGAACTCTCCCTTGCTGCAATGAAGATATCAAACAGCAGCTTTAGTTTTATTTGCAACTCTGCCTTGTTATCGTATATGTTGTTGTTGGTTGCTAAATGCTTGATTCATTTAACTTGATCCTTAAGGATCATATTGTTCATGCATTTTTAATTTTTTTGTTGATATTCTCTAAATTCTTGTATGGATTTTAATCTTTCGACAGATAAACGGAATTATTACATATCTGTATTTATGCATTTCACGTATATCGTTGACAAAGAATAGAGATTGTCCGTTCACATTCCCCTTTATGCTAAATCTATAGACGCTTCTTGTGGATTCTTAATACTACATTAGATATAACCCTTGTGTGCTTGTGATTGTATTTTCTCATGGAGGAATTTGTTTGTATTAGTATATTCTGGTGGACCTGGTGGTAGTTGTGGGCAAAAATGGAGTTTTGGGAGTCATAATCTATAAACAAATCATGGAGGAACACTGGTCCCCAAGAGTCATGTTCTGAAGTATTTTAAATCTATTTGCAAACCAGGCAATAATCATAAATAGCATGAAGGTAACTGTAATAACTAAATGGACTAATTACTGGAAACTCATTTCTGGTAAGAAATTATTATCCTCTGTCATATTCTTCTAGTAAGAATATATATTCTCTTCTGGCAGTCGGAATTTCAAAGCATACGTGAAAGATTTGAAATCATGGTTTATTACAGCACTTAGACCTTAAAAATACCCTGAAGGAAGAATTGGACTAATGATCATTAATCTATTGCTTTAACAGCAGTAGGTCCTCAACCTTTCAAAAGGAGCAAGTTGGTCTTCAATCTTTTGTTAGATTAACACAATCAGTCCCCAATCCATAAAATTGAAACGTAGACCTCATGGAAATATGGCTCATTTCGATTTCTTTGATATAAACTCAAGTTGAAAAGTAAAATCTAGCTTTATAAATATAAGCATAATAGAGCCACATGACGATTAAACAGTGATTCTAACCTTTCATCTTATTGAAAATTGACGTGCAACCATAACAAGAACTTGATAATCAACTGGCTATTAGAGCAATAGATCGGAGACACTGGTGCAATTCTTCTGCACTAATGTGTTTGGTATGTAATAGTATATTGTACAGGCCTAATCAAACCCCTAAAGGGCAGCCTAATAAGTAGGATAAAAATTGAAATAATGAAGTTCGACCCTAAAATCACCTAGAGGGAGGTGAATAGGTGAACACCACGGAATAAAAATTATTACTTAAAAGCAACGAGTCACTTTCTCATTGTTCTAGCTGTTTACTCAATCAATTCAATTTTATCCTATGTTGAATTGCTACAATAGTCAGTAACGTAGTAAATAACATTGAATTTGTTGATGGAGAAAATCTTTCAAGGATTAAAAACTATGGGACCAAGCCAATACTTCCACTATATACAATGAGAACTTACAATATGATCCAGCCTAGAAAATCTACTAGTCTCGCTAATCTAATTCCTACAATCTCCAAGATCCTCTAAAATGTACTTCACTTACATATGTTCCCAATCTTTTGGAATTGTTTATCTCCTATGGATCACTAAAAACACATTGCTTCTAGTTAAACCTCCATCAATCTTCAAAAACTTTTGAAAGCTATTGAAAAAGTACCTTCCTAATTATATTTAGGAAGTGGGTGTTTGGATTATGTGATTTTGATGTTTTTCCCAAGTTGTGGTTGATTGATCTCAACATGTGGAATGGTTGTTTTCTCTCCTAAGAATGTTGTGAAGATAGAATATAATGATTAACCCCCCATTTCACGAAGTAGGGCGTGGGTACATATACTAGAGAGGTAGTATAGGCCAGATAAAACTTTTGAAAAATACGAATTAGGATTTTTTGGGAAATACTATTACTAGATTGAGAGCCTAGCAACAGGTGAGCCACAAATGTTCCGCTCGAGTGATAGGCAGGCGGCAAGCTAGCAACAATGTTACTGTTTTGGACGTTCGAGCAACAGTTTGGCAGCAAGCTAGCATAATTTCAGCAACTTTTTCCTTTGTTCCATAGTTAACCCCAAGACTCCTAACTCATCTATAAAACATACCAACAGACTCCTTGACTCTTACAACTCTTTTAATAATAATTATTTTCTCTAATGATTAGCTAATACAATTAAAACCTTACAAACTTCTCATTTAGCATTCTGTGACAAAACTATACAATACAAGTCAAGGAAGAAAAAATAAAACTAACCTATCCAAACTCAAATTGAATGCCTTTTCTTGTATTCCTTATTAAACTTGTTTCCTGAAATAAACAACTCAAATACCCAGTTTAAAAGCATGTGAAACAGGAAATATAAAAATTGAAACTCACTATTATAAATATGCTAGATAGATTGAGAAGTAATAATAATGTTAATCAAAACATCAACTGAAATATAAATATCACTAAACATCAAAACTCAAAAAACTAGGTATTATGATGTACTATGATATGGAATGCCTTGAAATGCTATCATCTCCCCATTACTACTAACTCTTCCTAAAATGCTAACATCTCTCCTCTTTTTTGTTACAAATGATGAATGACACTACATCAAATGCAATTATCATAGGCCAATAACAAATATCTAAGAACTCAAAGATGCAGTTGATAGCAAACACAAGCATAATCAATAATTAGTAAACTTTCCTACATGCTCAATTAACTTAAAATTGAGTAAATTGTATAAGTGATCCATATGTGTAAAGTATCACTAATCCTTTGTAAATAGGACTCCAAACTTTAATTTTGTGAGAAATGACATGATAAACATCACCGTCAATAAATTTATCCCTGTAATTATGAATATCAAACCAATAATATCATATTAGGACCTATAAAAGAAACTCATTTTTATGCATGTTCTTTTTTTCTATATATATACACACACACACACATATATATAATTTTTAATTTTGAAGCTCTTTAATTTAGATTTCTCATCTAATATACAATCCCTTCTCTATTAAGCAAATAAGATGCCCCTTTTAATGAGCTTTAGGTTGGTTAACCCAAGTCAAATGACTATAGACACCAGGTCATGAGAAATTCCTCGAACTTAATTGCTCGAGTCAAATAGACTCCAAAGAAGAGTAATAAGATATTGAACTTTTTTTTTCAAAGGAATATACTTAACCTTATGACTGTAAGAATAAGGTCAATTCATGTTTAAAATCACCTTATTAAACATTATTGCCATCTTAAATCTCACACACGTGGTCAACTCCCATCCACAATATCATAATGTGTATAGTGCATATGGTACATGAAGAAACCTATACTAAGTACTCTATAAAAACCTAAACAAGTAATGGAAAATATACTACAGTACATCAATTAATCTCATACCTGGTTACGACACACATGTTCATGTAATTCATATCTCATGCTGTAGTGTCAAAAAAAATTTCCTTTTTTTTTAATTGATAAAACATGAATGTACCTAACACAGAAAAAACCAAACCAAAAAAAAAAAAAAAAAAAAAAAAAAAAAAACATTAAGCAAAATGATGAAAAAAAAAATAAAAAAAAAAAAATTTTTAAAAAAAAAAAAAAAAAAAAAAAAAAAAAAGCCCCAAAAAAAAAAAAAAAAAAAAAAAAAAAAAAAAAAAAAAAAAAATGGATGTACCAATTTAAACAAAACGAGATGCATGCCATCAAGAATAAGCACAAGCATGCACCAACAATCCCAACTCACTAAGACATGAAATTGCTCTCCCTTTGAAGAGAAACACAAGCAATATAATCAATTAGAGCATTTGTCTGATCATAGAGCTCACTCTTCTTAACCCAGACTTGCCTAGTAAAGGATTTATTTCAAATCATCTATGTCATTAACTTGGTCAATTGAATCACCTAATTAGTAAAGAAGTCAATCCGATTATCAAAATCTTGATTTCTATTTCTAGACTAATTTTGATTTCTCTTTCTATTCAGGAATTTATGACACGCAAGCCTTAAATGTCCTAACTCACCACATTTGAAACAAGTAGGGATAAACATAGGTCTAAAATTATGAGATACCTTATATTTATTCCCAGGTTGTTAGGTTCTATGCTATCTAGTAGGCTTCTGTCTTACGATACCCTTGTTCTTTAGTTCAGGATTAGGAACATACCTAAACTAGTAGGTGGCAGAGACAAAAAATGGTTTTGGAAATACTAGCCTTATTATGATCGGACTGCTTATATTCTAGACGTCCCCTATTTTCAACAGGCTTGTTCAACCCTAAAAAACTGTCCAACTTTTGAGTTCCACTTAAGAATGAATAGAGTTGAGTATTGGGTTTCTCAAGGTCACTTGTTAGGGTTTTAACCTTAGCCTTTAAGTTTTCCTTAACTAATCTTAACCTACTAAGGCTTTTGGTTGACTCCTGAAGTTCATTTATAAGTCTTTCTTTTCCTAGTTCAACTGCATTAACCTTCTTAAGTATGACTTTATTTACCTTCTTAACCTTAAAGCGTTCCTCAAATAATTGATGATAAGTCTCACGAACATCTTTTTCATCTTCAGAGTCTTCCTTAGAATGCTCACCTTTATCTGCTTCTGCAATCTTCTCACTGTCATTATTAGATTCACTAATAATCCAGCAATGAAGGCCATAAACTTCCCACTCTCATCATGAATAGATGTCTCACTTTGCTTATCCATGCTAGACTTATCATCAGTAAGAGTTGCGTTCATTGCTTTACCCCAATTTGTTTTACTTTAAGGCAATCACTCTTATAATGGCCAAAACTTTAACATTTATGACATCTCACATATTGAGATTTTTTCTAGAATCATTGGGAGTCGCTCTGTCTCTGGAGGCCTCTTCTTATTTCTAAATATTTTTCGAAATTTCTTAGCAAAATAAGCTATGTTCTCTTCATTAGTGGTCTCTGCATCAGTGGAGTCAAAATTTTCTTCCCTAACAGTGTTCAAGGCTATAGACCTATTCTTCTTAGGTTGAGATATGCTGAGTTCATAAGTTTGGAGTGATCCAACAAGTTCTTTGATCTTAACAGTATCTAAATCCTTGCTCTCCTCGACAGCCATAATTTTAGACCTAAATCTCGCAGGTAAGGATTTAAGGATTTTTCTAACAATCTTGGGCTAAGGAATTCTCTCACATATGTTGAAACTAGAGTTAACTATTCATTCAAGCTCGTATAAAAGTCATCAAAGGTCTCATCATCTTTTATCTTAATCCCTTCAAACCTAG